GATGATGGTATTAGAACCGATGATGTCATCATCGGGAAATGCTCTTAATACACGACGGGGATGTGCTGTGGGGCCAAGATGTAAACTCGTGAAAGAGTTTATCTTGCAGCCGACTCCAAATAGTTGGGACCCACTGTATTCATCACTTATCAATACTCATTGGCTCAAAATTTCAACCAATAAAAAAAAAATTAACGTTTTTAAGACTGAGGTTCGTTCATGATTCATCTTAGGGACAATTTCCGATTAGTACCTTGTACTTTGGGTGTAGTGCTATTTTGGTCATTAAACTTTAAAATGTGACAATTCAATATTCAAACTTTTAAAACATGTCAATTTAATACCTATCGTTAACTGGTCATTAATCAACCGTTAAGTGACATTTGAAAAGACACAAATGCCTTTCGAATGTCATCTAATTTTCTTTATCAACCATCCAAATGTTGATAAAAAATGAATAATCCCAAATCCCTTGCCCCTTATATTCAAGTAAGTTGGGGTCACCAAGATGTCAACTAAGACTTAACCCAACTTTATTAAATAGAAGAGATAAGAATTTGAGACTGTTCATTTTTTATCTGTGTTTAGATAATTGATAAAAATAATTAGATAACACTTAAAGGGCATTTATATATTTTCAAATACCACTTAAGACTGATTAATGGTCAATTAACAATAGATACTAAATTAACGTTTTGACAGTTTGAATACTAAATTATTATATTTTAAAATTGGAGGACCAAAATGTCACTATCCCAGAATACAAGATGCTAATCATAAATTTTTGCTATATTTTACCATCAACTTGGAAAATTCAAAGTTTCTATAAGTCGGAAGAAGAGCATAAAATATAGTGGATGGTAGGTGAAGTCTCTTTCATTTAGTAGTAGTAATGAATCTAATGATGTGGATGGAAGGAAGAAAGAAGCCGTGGTCCCATGTGGGCCCGCGTCACCACTAAGAAATTTTGTCCTACACACAGCTTGTCACCACCAATTCATGGATGACGAGGCGAGGCGAGTCGGTCATCATCGGTGACGCCTTCTGGCTTCTGCTGTCAAATTAAACCATCACTTCTATCCATTTATTAATCAATTAATATTTCTGTAATTTTAACAGATGCAATGCAACAACAATAATCGACTATTTAATTTCTTATGCTTCTGCTTTTGCTGTATTGATAGAGACAAATCAATAATCTCTTTCCCTTGTATGGTTTTAGGCTGATCTGAGACTTTTCCAAATATTCCAGTTCGGTTGGACTGATTTGGTATCGTTGGAAATAATTTTCTATTACATGTTTAAATTAATATTCTTATTTACATGATTTTTATAAACCCTAGAGCCTAGAAACCAGATAAGAATATTGGCCGTCCCCATCATTGAATTAAGTTGTTTTATGGTTGCAGATTTTTTTTTTCTTTTCTTTTCTTTTTTTTGGATTATTTAGAAGGTGCATGGAATATCTTCATTTCTTTATGTCATTGCATTTTTGAAAAAGCACGTTTAACTACCTTGTTTGGGAGTGAAGGCTTAATTTTTAATTTTTATTTTTTGAAAAAGCACTTATTTCATTTTTAGTCCGATTTTGGCCTGTGATGTAATTTTTAAAATAATTAACCATAGTAATCCACTAAGTTAATTGGCATCAAACCAAACACGTAGCCTAAATGTGTCATTAATCACGTACCTATTAGTGTATTATTAATTAATAATTGACAGCGATTATTATTTTTGAACAATTAATAATGACTTCACTATTATCATTGTGTCATTTCAGTGGATCCCACTGGTCGGATATCAACGGGTTGGGTTTGGCACACCTGGCACAACCTGATTAAATAAAGAAGGAATAACAAATCAAAGTCACCCCATCCTTTATTTTTTATACTATGTGAAGTCAAGCTATACTCACTCTAAACTAAACTGTCTAAGAAAAAAGAAAAACAAGCCTTTCATTGCAAAGTTCCTTATACTATTTAGACTGATATGGGATATGAGGAATGCAGCGGAGCATAAAAATAAGGTCATCAATCCAGCAAATCTGTTACATCATATGTGCTGGTTTCTGGTACCAAGCCCGGTCATACAACCTTTCCATCCATCATTTCTGCACTCCCATATAATATTAGCCGCAAAATACAAAATGTTCATCGATGGTTCCTTTAATCCATCATCTAGTATGGCAGGAACAGGAGCTTGGATTCTCTCAACAGATGATAATGAAATCTTCTCAGATAGCAGAAGAATTGCATCTTTTCTGACTCAAAAAGCTTGGTAAACAACATCTATATGGATAGTGAAATGGACTGGCAAGTTCAACCCATCAAACAGAAAGTTCTAGATTTACTGTCCTTTTTTGATATAACAGTCATAGCCCATGTAAATAGAAGTATGAATATGATTGCTCATGAACTTGTTTATAATGCATGTAAATATAAGTAGAAACTGTGAATAGCCACAGTATCCCGTGTAATATGCTACTATAAGTAATGAAAGCTTTCTAAGGTTTACAAAAGAAAAAAAAAGCTTATCTTCAAAAATAATGCATGAGTTTTAATTAATCACATTAAAAATGTTATGATGAAGGGAAATTTGGCCCGACATCGCAATTACTCAACACGTGGCAAAAGCAAACAGCTCGGAACAACAGCGCGCCCAAGACACAAGCACCAAAAGGAGGAATCAGCAGTCCGAGCTCAGGACCTGAACTCCCTACTAGGAGCCCAAGCTCCCTACTAAGAACCTGAACTCCCTGCAAGGAGCTCGAACTCTCGCTTGGGCCCCGAGCCTCACAAAGCAGTGACCCGAACTGGCCCGCCTCATAGCAGTTCAGGAAACTCCCCAATCCGAACTCAAGACTTCACCTCGCCTCGCCACTCCTGCACCTCACCTCCCAGATACCAGGCTGACCGAACGTACCGCCCCTGCGTATCCCAAGGCGGCGCACCTGACTGACTTGGGATCTGACGCTTGACAGTCGTACTGCAAACGGCTTCCTGCCACCGCCACCTGCCACCATCGTCACCAGTTGCAGAGACGACCTTGACAAAAGGAGCAGTGGCGGTTCTGACCAGTCAGAAGGAATGACATCCGAACTGGCAGGAACTCAGAAATAATCATGCCCGATCTAACAGAGCTTGGAAGTGAGTGTGCGAGGTGGTTATAAAAGGCTCCTGGCCCTCCAAGAACAAGGTATGCAAACTTTGCGCTATCTGGTTTCATTTTGCCTTTGAAGGATTCTAACTTGAGCTTTAGAGCCTCCACACCGAGTCTCCCCCAGAGCGTTCTCACCCTTTGGTTTCAGATTCCCCGTAGCTCCGTTCAGATGCCAGGTCATCGACAACTAGGACCGGCCGGATTGCGCGCCATCATGTTATATGACTTATTTATTTTTTATTGGTTCACATTTTATAAGGTATATTTATTATTAAAATCTTTAATAATTTAAGAATTCAAAAAATTCAAAATTTTGATGTCATGATACCATTCATACATTATAGATTTTGCCATATTTCAATAGTGCAATCTCAATGGATCAGATTCAGAATGAGTTTTAACTCAACCTTAACAAGACCCAAAACTCGATTAAGGATTACCCGATGTTAGTGTGAGTGTACATTTATCACTTTGATCCGACCCGATGACATCCCTTGCTTGGATACCTGTGCATTGCTTACATTACTCATGCTTGTAGGTGTACTTTTTCATATTCTTCTGACAAGTTGGCATGTTCGGCAAGGAAAGCAAATTCTCTTCTGAAACAAAGGTGGTGGAAAATTATATAAAACCATATGATTAAAACTTTGATTTATAAATGTCAAAGAAACTAATTTAATTAATTAAGCGATTAAAAAAATAATCCTAAGTCCTAACCGACAAAAAAAAAATAGAAGATTAATTTTCAGTTAAAAATATATTTAGAATATTTGTGTGGCGTGGTATGAAGAAGGAAACGCCAAGTCAATAGAAGTTTCTGAAGAGCTCCTTATATTTTGATGTTGGGAAATCGGCCACGCGAAATGCGAATGAAAGCGACGATTGACCTAAAAAACACAGTCAATCTCAATCACCTACGGTACGAAAAAGGGAAGAAATTCAGAATCAGAAGGAAACGAGCCAACTCTGACCATCTGGGTCCCCAAACAAGCTGCCGTTGTTGTTGATTTAAGCCTTGAAATTGACAAAACTGAAAACCCATTCAATTTAAACAAAACAAACGAGGCCGTTAAGACCCCATGACCCCCCAAGTTTATATATTGTTCAACTTAAACGACGAACATACATACCAGCTTTAACTCCATAAGCGAACGAAGGCCACATATTTGACAAAAATTCTCACTCAAACAATTCACCTCCATTTCTGATTTTCCCCCCACCAGGCCACCAACACGAAAGCCAAAAATCTGAAGTAAAAAAAAAAAAAAAAAGAGTCAACTTTACCTAATGTAATTAGTCGGTTCTTATTATAGATGACAGGTGGCATCCAAATAAGAAAACACGTATTCTTCAATTTTCTAAATTGAGAGCAACCGAAGACAAGACATTTCCAAATTCCAACGATACAAATGCTTCCAAATCCAAACCAAGAGTCCATGACTCGGCCCATGAGGTCCCACCCTGGGCCCACCCCATGTATTAATGGCCCATACAACCTCAACGGTCTTCACCATTATTATCTCCTTTGACTAGTTGACTAATTGACGGCGAGTCCATACTCCATAGTGCTGAATCGCTGGTCCCGTAAGGAGTAAGGACGCTTGGATCTAACTTCTTATTGGTATCAACGGTTGTTTATGTGGCCACATTTCCACGCGGGCTTTATCGTACGCCGCCCACCGTCTATCGTACATTCGTATGGTTGTGTTATTGAGAAGAAAACAAGAGAAAAAGAAGAAAAATTATCAACTAATCTTACTAATTACTATTTTTAATTTTCAAATTGTCTAATAAAAATTAAAGAAAAGGAAAATTAAAATTGTGACCTGAAATTAAACGGCTCTCTCCTATCTCTTTCTGGGCGTTTTGAGCTGGTTTGCTGACCTACCTTCTTAACCGATCGAGGGCCGAGGGGGTAGGGTAGACGGTAGAGAGGTAGGGTCTGTAAATAAGAATCGTTTTGATCGAATTCGAATTTTAGACGTTGTTGATCTTGTTCTTCTAATCGGAACTAATCAAAGCAGGTCTAGGGTTCGTTTTTTTTTTTTTTTTTTTTGTTTCTTCTTTTTTCCGTTAAGAAGAAGAACAGAGGTGATGATGAAGAGAGGCAAATTAGATATGTTTGTGGCTCTCGGTCGACAGAGATCGATTCAGTTGGTGGTTGGTGCAGGGCTTCTGTACATTTTATTGATGAGTATAGAAATCCCATTAGTTTTCAGGAGCGGCTTCGGTGCCGTATCACGGGACGGCTTTAATGGCTTCCTTAACGACGCTTTGCCTCGGCCTCTCAGGCTTGATAGTGAGGAGGACATGGAGGAAAGAGAAGCCCCTGTTCGACCTTCCGAGGTGCCTTTTAAGGTTTTTCAGCGTTCTCTTCAGCCGTCTAAGCAGGTAACGGCTGAGGGACAGGTGCGTGAATACAAGGTTTTGTCAGGTTTGAACTTTCAGGACGGCCCATTCAATACTAGCAGTAAAGATGGGTTCTCTGAGCTTCAAAAATCCGCTAAGGATGCTTGGGACGCTGGGAGGAAGCTCTGGGAAGAGCTTGAGTCCGGGAAGGTTCGGGTCGATGAAGAGTCCAGGGCAGAGAGCAGGTCTGAGTCTTGCATGCCTTCGATTGTGATTTCTGGTTCGGAGTTTCGGGACCAGGGAAACATTATGCTTCTTCCGTGCGGGCTGACTCTGGGGTCACACATAACTGTTGTGGGGAAGCCATATCCAGCACACGCCGAGCAGGACCCCAAGATATCGCTGTTGAAGGATGGGGATCAGTCAGTCATGGTCTCGCAGTTCATGATGGAGTTGCAAGGACTAAAGTCGGTTGATGGGGAAGACCCACCGAGGATCCTGCACTTCAATCCTAGGTTGAAGGGGGACTGGAGTGGCAAGCCTGTCATCGAGCAGAATACTTGTTATAGGATGCAATGGGGATCAGCTCTTAGGTGCGAGGGGTGGAAATCTAACGCTGATGAAGAAACTGGTAACTAGATTTCGACGATCTTTTATGTTTCTGTTCTCTTGCTTTTTGCCAAGTCTCTCTTTTCTGCCTCAAATTGTTATTTGGATTTAAACTACTTGGGAAAATTTTATTTTTTATTTTTTTTTATGTCTTGTTTCATGTTTCTTTTGAATTGCTACAACCCAAATTTGTTCTTATTTACTGAAGAATATGCAGTTCAGTAAATTCAAATTCCATGTGATGTGTTAATTACATAATAAGCATACGTGAACATCTTGAGTTCTTTCCGTTCGTTAGACCATATGTTGATGGCCTTAGTGAGAATAACTTGCTTGGAGGAACCTGTACTTTTCAAGTGTTGCCTCCTATCTACCGCAAGTTTTTGAAAGAGTGTAGCTATGGCAACATGAGTTGAGGGATTTTTCGCTTTTGCCTTCTGCACAGGCCGCCTCTTAAAGAATTAACCCTCTCTGCAGTTGATGGACAGGTAAAATGTGAGAAGTGGCTTCGTGATGATGATAACGGCCTAGAGGAATCAAAGTCATCATGGTGGTTAAACCGGTTAATTGGCCGATCAAAGAAGGTCACGATTGATTGGCCATACCCATTTGCAGAGGGCAAGTTGTTTGTTCTTACACTCAGTGCCGGTTTAGAAGGTTATCATGTCAATGTTGATGGGAGGCATGTTACCTCTTTCCCTTACCGCACCGTGAGTACCTTTTTCAAAACTCTATGTTGGTCTTTATAAACCTGGAAGAATCTGGATTATTTCTTGAATTTTAAATGCTAATGTTGATAGGGTTTCGTTCTCGAGGATGCAACTGGCCTATCTCTGAATGGGGATGTTAATGTACATTCCATAGTTGCTGCTTCCTTACCTACTGCACATCCTAGCTATGCCATGCAGAAGCTTCTCGAGATGTCTACTAAATGGAAGGCTCCACCTCTTCCAGAGGGGCCTGTGGAGCTTTTCATTGGTATCCTTTCTGCAGGCAATCATTTTGCTGAGCGTATGGCTGTGAGGAAATCTTGGATGCAGTCTGAACTGATCAAGTCTTCAAATGTTGTGGCCCGCTTCTTTGTAGCACTGGTAAATGCCGGTCCTTTTAGTGTATACCATTTGTATGAATTCCATTTATCCAGTTTGAAGGCTTTAACTTTTGAAGTTGATTCTTTGGAGGCAGCATGGAAGGAAGAAAGTGAATGCGGAGTTGAAGAAAGAAGCTGAATTCTTTGGTGACATTGTAATAGTGCCTTTCATGGATAGCTATGACCTTGTTGTGTTGAAGACTGTTGCCATCTGCGAATACGGGGTAAGTGGGGGAAGAAATTAAAGCTAAAAGTTTACACCCATTGTGGATTTTGTGGATTACTAATATTTGACACCTCATTTATTCACAGCTTCGCTCGGTATCTGCAAAATACATTATGAAGTGTGATGATGATACATTTGTCAGGGTGGATGCAGTAATCAAAGAAGTGAAAAAAATCCCCAGTGACAGGAGCCTGTATGTGGGAAACATGAATTACTACCACAAGCCCTTGCGATATGGTAAATGGGCAGTGACATATGAGGTATGTATTGGGTTCTTTTGCTACAAAGATTTTATGCCATGTTTGCACTTGGTTTTCCCTTAGTATGGATTGCCAATGGTTTTTCCATGAGTGTTATTTATCTTATCAGCAACAATAAATAGAGAATTAAATCCCCTGTTGCTCTAATGCTTGCCGGTGTGTGTTGGTCATTACTAGACTTTTGGTTCACATGATTCTTGGAGTTGGAAGTTTTTTGTTTTTTTTCTCCGCTGCATATTTTTTACCTTTGACTATTTGTCAGGTTGAGTTTATTTATTTTTCTGCCACATACAGGGAAACAGTTGCTGATTATTGAAATTTGGTTACGTTTACACGTGCATAGATGGGCATATATTTTGCTGAACTGCTTTTTTTTGCACCTAATACAGATACAAAATGTTAATGTTGGTGTGTGGCAAAACAGGAAATAGCTTGGACAACCTACTTTTGTAGTTCACATGTATATTTGTGCTGCATATGCTGCAAATGTTGATTTATTTCTAAAATGATGATTCAGTAAAGGAACTTACGCAAAAAGAAAGGTGGTTGCACTGAATGACTGAGTGAAGCGTAAGGAAAAACATTGCCTGGGCTAATGATAATTGATTTTCTGAAATCATATGCTATGAAGAACAAACTATAGGTAGTCTGATTGGTTGTGCATTGAGATGCATCTCCTTGAAATTACTTTTCATCATGTAACAACATTTAAATCCTTGTTCACAAATCTAAATGGATATATAATCCAGTTCTCCAGGGCTCTACATGCCTTAATCTAAACGGTAGTCTTTTCAAGTTGTGGCCCTTTATATTCTCTCTTGCACTGTTCAAGTTCTTTTTGATAGTTATTGTTTTAAACTTTATTTGTTTCATTTTTAAATTGTGTGGCTTTTTTGGGGGGATAGGAGTATTTTGAGTAGTGTTCACAATTTTGTTCGTTTCTGGTGGATTTCAGGAATGGCCAGAAGAAGATTATCCACCTTATGCAAATGGACCAGGCTACGTTGTGTCATCTGACATTGCAGACTTCATTGTCTCTGAGTTTGAGAAACACAAATTGAGAGTAAGTACCTTAAATTGTTCACCACTGCTTATTTTGCTGTGTGTGTGTGTGTGTAAATGGTGATTAATCAACCATCTGCACTGCAGCTGTTCAAAATGGAAGATGTGAGCATGGGGATGTGGGTGGGGCAGTTCAACAGCTCGAGGACTGTGGAATATCAACACGATTTGAAGTTTTGCCAATTCGGTTGCATCGACGATTACTTAACAGCACATTATCAGTCTCCTAGGCAGATGACCTGCATGTGGAACAAATTGCAACAGCAGGGAAGAGCCTTGTGCTGCAACATGAGATGACCATGTTGATTGTGGAGGTGGCCGGTGATAATGCAAATGGCATAGAAGTCTGCAACAACGTCAATGTTGTTTGATAACAGTGTGGAGAATCCTAGAGGGAAAAACACAGTAAATCAAGTTTTGCAGCCATGGCATTATGTGGGTGTATAGGGATGGGGGCTGTTCATGTGCCCCTTCCAACTCATTCATTATTTTCTTGTTCTTTTTTCCTTTTTGAGGCTGGAGGGTGATGAAGATGGCATGTATTCTCTGTGGGGGCTGCCTCCGAGTTCTGTAACCTATAGTAAAACATTAAAGCAGCAAATGAAAATTAATACCTTTTTCTTGTTTTTTGTATCGAAACCTCTCAACTGAGCAGATGGCTTTAAAGGAAAATCAATTACAGTTCCATCATCCCTTTAAAGCTAAAGTAATGATTTTGGCTAGGTCTTCAAGAAGCCAAAGATATGTTCCTTGGCATTGACTCAGGGCCAGCGATAGCAATGGAGTTGATTAATCTCACAACAACAAGCAACCCTCTGGTGCCTCTTGGGAATGGGATGAATGTGATTTGTTCATTGAGCAGAGATTTTGCTTGCAGGCCCAGAGGGTTTAGATCTGTAGATTGCGGGTGCAACAAAGAGGGTTTAGATTAGACGTTTAGTCGGGTTTATGGACAAAGTAAAACCATGGCCCAACCCAAAGACATGGACCTTAGGCCCGCCGTGGTCCAACAAGGTCAAGGCTCGAATTGGCCAGCCGGCCCGGCCCAAGCTCAACTTAAACAATCCATGACAACTTAGGTTAGGCAGTCAGGCATGGGGGCATCGGTGGCTTGGTGGCTTGAACAGGCCTCGAGGTTATCACCTAATACGACTTGGGATCCCCTCCCGACAAAAACTGTTCCAACACGATCTCAACATATCTGTATCCGCACATCTCACCATTTATTTTTATCTTGAAACATGAAAAAAATGGTTGAATATTTTTTGATGTTGTTAGATAGTTAGGCACCACATTAGGCATCAATAGGTGCCATATAAGCTGAACAATAAGAAAGATATTGGGAAATTATTAAAATGAAGCTTCTCCTATCGATTGGCTTTCAAGACAAATTTTATTTAATAAATATTTTATCAAACAACATTTCAGATTAAATGTCTATATGACAATGAGGTGGCACCTGTTTGAGTTATGGTTGAGCTGGTCTTGCATGCCACGTGGCGGCCTCCGTGGCCATTTCATCTCCTCAGTCATGTTGACACCACATAAGATGGATAAGCACAACCAAGAATATGAGTTTCATATGGATAAGGAAGACAACCCCACCGGGGAAGATGACTTATCCCGAAAACCTCGGTGGATAACCTCATCCCAACAACCCTAGAAACCTCATTCGAATTGGACACGGGTCTTCGGCTATAAATAGGTAACCCCTGCTCAAGGTAAGGGACTTTTGATTCTTCAGCCTTCATATTGTTACTCTACTTTTGCTCAGACCGGCATTGCTCTCAATTGCTCGGCCCGACCACCCATCTCTCACATCACTAACTTGAGTGTTGGAGTGCCTACCTGGGGAACAACTCCTCAGGCCTATGATCTTTTTCTTGGTTTCAGATCTTGGTGTGCGGTTTCATCCTTCCACCTTGGCTTCACCAGTTGGTAAGACTATTTGACTACAACCTCAGTTCGGGACACCTCGGATTGGAAAATATTAGCACCAATTTTCAAATAAATGGCAACAAAACCAAACACCATCATCATGTTGGAACTGTTTTGGTTGGGAGGAGATCCTGACTTGGTTTTTTTCTGGCCTTTTTGCTAATAATTAACATCGATAAATTTTGTAGTCTTAGGAAACTTATTATTTGGTTGTAATGTATAAGAAAAGGCCCTTATCCAGTAATGTTGGTTTCACCCATTTGGACTTAGGATTAGTCTAGACCTGATGACAAAAAACATTGTGCACAAGATTAGGGGTGTCCATAAAAAACCGAAAACCTGAACCAAATCAGAAAATGTGGTTAATTGAACCGATCGGTTCAGTATTTTTGAAAAACCAAATGACATATTCGATTTTTGATTAACCTAAAAAAATCAATGTTTAACCAAACATTAAGGGTATGGGATGAACTACCCTGTTTCAAATCTATTCAGAACAAAACCTTTGGGCGCGTAGCACTCATCCATTGAAAATATCTTCTATAATGTTAAATTTATTGGAAAATATTCTCAATATGCAATTGGATTCTCATACTTGCAGAGGAGGTTGTGAGAGGCAAACCACTAGTTTAGGATTATGTTGCTTAAAGGTTTCGTTCTCGATGTTGTTACTTATAATTGTTTAGTTGATTGTTGTTGCAAGACCTATAGGATTGGCAAGACATTAGAGCTTTTTGGGGGTGTTATTTTTTTGGATTTTGAGAGGGGGGAATGTTGGTTTCCATTGACCAAGAATCCCATGTTCTTTTTTCAGATTTATGTGGGGATCAGCGAAAGTTTATTTTCTTATGTATCACTTACCTGTACCTATCTCCTAGGTGGATAAATAAATTTCCCACCTAGGAGGAAAGTTGCTAACACTTGAATGGGACAAAAATGCCTATTTTAATAATGGATTTTTATGGTTAAAATGTTCATTGCCTTATTTATAGAACATGGGCAAATGCACTTACCCGGATAATGTTTCTCAGGAAAAACTAAACCAGGTAAATGCATTTACTCAGGTAAGTAACTTACCAAAAAAACAAACGGAGCGATGATATGATTTAAGGAGGATGTATCCCTAACTGGGTCACCTACAATTCATATTAAGTATTACAGCAAAACTAATGATATTGAATAGGCCACTGAGATTTAAAAGAGATGAACTTGATGAATCATGGGATACCTACTACCACCTCTTACACCCCTATCATACATGCATTATGTGAAGCTGGAAGAGTTCTTGAGGCACGGGATTTTTTTGTTGAGCTAGTTTAAAGTGGGTCAATTCCTGGAGAATATATGGATTGAGAATGGAATCAAGAATAGTTATAAGCAAGTGATGCTGGTGAAACCAATAATGAAAGGTAGTTAGTTCCATTACAGTAATGGTTAAATCTGGTGTTTGATGGTTTGTTTGGGAATGCTCAACCTTGCTGAAATATGAGAAAATTATCTACTTGCGTAGTTCTCATCAAGTAAGCATTGCCATCATAATTTTCTAGATCCTAATCAATTATTCTAAGCATAGATCCCTAATTATTTATTTATTTTTCATTTAAATGGAATTCACATTTGCCCTTTGTCTACAGGTTGCTCAGCCATCAATTATAAGCTTTGAATATCTGATTTATGCACTTCAATGGAGAACAACAGAGGAGGCGTGGAGCACAATTTGTTTCCTGGTCTGTAGCTTGGTAAGTCCAGTTTAGGTGAATGGTACGATATCTGATATCAAGTTATCAACTAATTAACTATGGTCCTCACTCCTCAGATCGGGTGAAGTGTAAAGTTCCTTTGAATGATTCTCAGAGAAATAGAAGGTTTGTTAAAAACGGAAAAACCTAGAAGTTCCTTTGAGATGTCTTAGGTATCAAACGCAGCTGCCTCAGAGTCTCAGACGCAGGCAATTGTGTGATATCTTATTCTGCCTTGGTTCTTCAGGCCAGACATGGTGCATCCAAGCCCCAAATACATGATGTAATGACAAGAACCAGATGAAACTTCACATCTGACATCCCCCTCTAAACCCCTGTCTGCCCAACTGCAGATGTCAAAGGACGACTTGCATGTAATGGTAGCAAAGGCCTACTCATTGAGATGTCTATCTATGAGGGCTGATGAGAGCATAATGAGTTGAGTTTCTGTGATGTAAGTTTTGTTGATGGGTGAAAGTGAAACCTTAATTTGTCTGTGTCGACAAAGCCCAACCATACACAAACTCGTTGAAAAATTTTCAATGAATCAAGGTGGCACCATAGTCCATATTGATTCCATTGCCACCTCTTTTTTGTTTTCTGTCAACTGCGTTTGTTTTCTGTCAACTGCGTTTGGAAACGATGCAAATGAAGTATAAATCTTAGTTCAGGGTAAATTTGCATTCTGATTCACTTTTGCCCGTGTTTGACAACACTATATTTATGCATTGACAAATGACAGATCAATGCATATTTACATTAATAATAATAAGATATAAAAGCACATCAATAAAAAAGAAGTAAATTTGCATTCAAGTGGGCTTTTGATAAAAAAAAAGCCTATTCTTTATTGGAATTCATATTTGCATCAATAAAAAAGAAGTAAATTTCCAAACACAGCTGTCTTGATTTTTACTTGAAAGATTTTTCTGGAATTAACCAAGTTCGTCTTTATATATAAGCAAATGTTTAAAAAGACAAGTAGATAAAAGTTGAAGAGATAACCCATGTCTTTTCTACACTTTGTCTATAGACAGAGATGCACAAGCAATCCTCCTTTGTATGGTTGAGACTTGAGATTGGGTCGAGGCCCCAATGCCTCCCAAATAAGAGTTCAGATTGGTGCCCCACAGGCGCCATATATGTACATCTCAACGTGCTTTGGCCTGGGGAGATGTTCCCAATACACAATTTGGGATGTACTGTGGGACACCCATGCCAATTCCCCAAATAAATAGGATAATAAAGTCCAGAATTGATGAAAAGTTCTTTTATTTTGTTTTCCATCTACAGTGTACAGTCCAAGAAAGATTGCAACCTCTCTCTCTCTATATATATGTTATTGGCTGGAAAATTGATAAGAGAGATTTGCATACTAGTCAACCAAGAAAAAAAGAAAAACAACAGGCGAATGACAAGAGACTTGCATACTTGCATCAAAGCTTTTCATTAATATATTTGCATTTTCTCTATATTTAAACTCTCAGCTAAAATTCTTCGGTGTCCATCTTAATTACTTTTACATTTGGAAATGGAGTCAACTAGAAGTAGAACAAAAAACCACAATGACAGGTTAACTAAAAATATTTATCCTTTACACAACACATGCTTCTATGTCCTCTACATTCAAGATGTCTCCCATGTTAGAGTCTGGATCTACGATCTACTCCTCACAACACCCACACCCACACAACACGACGACTACTCCTGAGTCCTGTCCTGGTGGACTTATTAGAGCTGCCTTATTCACATAAATGAATTGTTTTATAAAACAGTCGATGACAGTCGGAGACACGGCTCACCTCATGAACTCTTCTTATTAAGGCTGTAACTTGGGCCGGGTTGGCTTGAACCCAACCCTGACCTAATTCGAAAAAGTTGGGTTATGTTGGGTTGGATTGATGCTCGGGTTAGAGTTAGAGTTAGGGTTAGGGTTGAAATTCATGAGCCCAACTTTACTTCGGGTTAAGTTAGGATTGATCTCTTAGGCAACTCAATTCAACCCCAACCCCACTCTATAATGCATGTCATATATAAATATATGTTATATGTAATATATAACATACATTGATTTGTTTAGATGCATGATATTTGTATAGCCCCCACCACATAGTATCATGTATTTCTTTTAAGATAATCACTTCACTTAATCCTAATCAGAAAGATTAAAACCTTAATAACATTATTTTATGTTTTTTGAAAATTTTATTCTTCATTTCCTCTCTTGTTTGCCACTCATAAAAGATGTACGTAAATCATAACTCATAATAAACTATAATCATTTTTAACACTTGTTTTATTGAATTTTGTACCAAAGGCTCAGTTTGGAAGGAGTACAAATACAAATATGTACAGCACAAATATATACAAAATAATGCAAAAAGCAAGGTTTTGCACTCTACATATTTACATTTGTACTCCTTCCAAACTGAGCCAAAAGAATTAAAAACAAAAAACATCAACAAACAAATACCAATAAAACATAAGATTAATATATGTAGTAAAAATTGAATTGAGATCTAAAATCAATAAATTATATGAAGTTTTAAGGAATGGGAAGAAGGTTGGATTAGGCCCAACCTAAAACTGGCTTCATATTGGGTTAGGGTTGGAGGAATTTAATTAAAATTAAAATTAAGATTGAATTAAGGTTAGGATTAGAGTTGGAGGTTTAAAACTTAACTAGAATTGGCCTCAACCCGACCCGACTTGCAGCCCTACCTCTTACGACTAGGGGCCGGGGAGCTCCGTCCCGTCCTCCACCAATGTGATGAATTAGAAGGTGAAAGGCACATCTCTTTTCTTCTTCTGTTGACTCTCGAGCGGCTCAGAAAAGAAAACGAAATTTCTAATTTAATTTAATAAAGTATAAACACCCCCATCCATCATTGATCAATGATCATTTTATAATAATACTTATTCACTTTTTTTCCGCTTTTTGTTTTACCTTTTCTTTCAATCCTTGTTCATTAAGAATCAAATAATACTCATTGACCCACTTGCACTTCATACGCACGCCACATAGGCTCTCTCCCTCTCTCTCTTCTCTCTGCTCTCCATATAAACCCCTCCCCAGACCCCAACCCAAACCAAGCAGTTCCACATCTTCCACGATGGAGCACATCCCTGCGCCGGCGGCCCATCAAAGGCAAGGAAGGATGATGGTGAGCGGGGATATGTGGGCACAATTAGGGTCCGGCATAGCAGGCATAATGTTCATGTATGCCATGTTTCAGCAATACTTTCCTCGGCAGCTTACCGGTTTCATCGGCTTTTACACCAACAAATTGGTGGCCTTCGTCTACCCTTACCTTACTATTTCTTTCGACGAATACAGCGGCGATCGCTTCAAGCGCAACGACGTCTACTCCGCCATCGAGTCCTACCTCACCTTCAATTCCACCATGAGTGCTAAGCGCCTCAAAGCCGACATCGACAAGAACTCTAAGAATTTCGTACTCAGCATGGACGATAACGAGGAGGTCACCGACGAGTTCAACGGGGTTAAGCTTTGGTGGTCTTCCAACAACAGATCCACCCCCACTCAGTCCTTCCCCTTCTATTATGCCCCTTCCGCTTCCGAGAGGCGCTTCTACAAGCTCACCTTCCATCGGCGCCACCGCGACCTCATCACCCGCTCCTACCTCAATCATGTCTTGGACCACGGCAAGGCCGTCCGCCTGCAAAACCGCCAGCGCAAGCTTTTCACCAACAACCCTAGCTCCAATTGGTACGGCTACAAGAGTACGGTTTGGAATCATGTGGTGTTCGAGCATCCGGCGACCTTCGACACGCTGGCGATGGACCCCGTCAAGAAGCAAGATATCATCGACGACCTCCTCACTTTCAGCAAAGGCAAGGATTATTACAAGAAGATTGGCAAGGCATGGAAGCGGGGATATCTACTCTACGGCCCTCCTGGGACCGGCAAGTCCACCATGATCGCCGCCATGGCCAATCTCTTGGATTACGATGTTTACGACGTCGAGCTGACGGCCGTCAAGAACAATACGGAGCTGAGGAAGCTGTTGATCGAGACCAGCAGCAAGTCCATCATTGTGATCGAAGACATCGATTGCTCGCTCGACCTGACGGGACAGAGGAAGAAGAAAAAGGAGGAGGGAGACGACGACGAGAAGGACCGGCTTCCGAAGCCTCTCAAAGAAGAGGCCAGGGAAAAAGACAGCAAAGTTACTCTCTCTGGGCTTCTGAATTTCATCGACGGACTGTGGTCTGCCTGCGGTGGCGAGAGGCTCATCGTCTTTACCACCAACCATGTGGAGAAGCTGGATCCGGCTCTCATAAGGAAAGGTCGGATGGACAAGCACATCCAGTTATCTTATTGTTCGTATGAAGCATTCAAGATTCTGGCCAAGAATTATTTGAACCTGGACTCCCACAGACTGTTCGGCACGATTGGCAGGTTGTTGGAGGAGACCAATATGACCCCCGCCGATGTCGCCGAGTGTTTGATGCCTAAGACTATCGGTGTAGATGCTGACACTACTTGCTTGGAGAATCTGATCAATGCTCTGGAGACTGCCAAGGAAGAAGCCAGGTTGAAGGCGGAAGAAGAAGAAGAAGAGGCCAAAAAGAAAGACGAGGCATCGGCTAAAGAGAAAGACGAGGCATCGGCTAAAGAGAAAGAAGAGTCGTCAATCAAGGAAGAAAATGGAATTGTAGTTCAAGAGAAAGAGAAAGAGAAAGAGACCAACGAAAAAAAGCAGGATTAGAGAATCTCCGCGGCCGGCAGAGAAAAGAGAAAGAGAGAGACCAACGAAAAAAAGCAGGATTAGAGAATCTTCGCCGCCGGCAGAGAAAAGAGAAAGAGAAAGAGACCAAGGAAAAGAAATGGGTAGCTTTGTTTCTTTTTTCTGGTTTTCTCCTTTCTGCATATATAATGTAATGTAATCCTCTGGAGTCTGGAGTTCATCTTCTTGTATGTACTTTTCCTTTTGAAAAGCTTCCCTGCAAGTCTGTCTTTACCCTTCAAATCATTCTCCATTGTCGTCATGGAGATGGGAAAATCGAGACTAGACAAACTGATTTTGGCTTTTCTCTGTTTCGCTTTACCACTTTTTGACAAAATTAGTCGTCGTCGTCGTCATCCTCATCATATGTAAGTTATTCCCTAATAATATCGGATTGGCTCCATGAGTTCTGTTCGGCAATTCTGTTCTGTTCAATTTAACTAGTAAGAAATCAAAAGCATTAATAGATAGAATGCATAACATGTGCCACAAATGATAATCATTAAAATATGAAAAAGAAGGATGAACCTGAGGTTGAGAGAGAGAGAGAGATCCAAATCTAAAGTAACATCAAAAATTTCTTTCAAAATGAAAAAAGACACTTGTGAACTAAAATTTGAGATAGCTGAAAAAGAAGATTAGGGACCAGACCATACCAAACAGCAACACACAATCCCCTTGACGCCCTGAAACAGGGTTGCTAGGAACAAAGTCTTTTAAGGAAAAGAAAAAGCTCTCAACCGTTTGATATATTAAAGTTATGAGGATGGTGTTGGATAGATATGGGCTCACAATCAATGTCGTGGGTATGAATAGTATCAGGGTTGAAAAACTTATGGCTGATTAGAGGATCCAATTTGGATAGACATAGAGGTATGTATCTGAATCCGGTCCAATAAGAATCCAGGAAATATTCCACCGACATATTAGCCAATTAGAATTTGATTCACTCGTATCCAGATATCCGATTCGACTCAAACCTTAATAAATTTGTCTGAAAATAGTATAAATCTGTATTATTTAAAAAGACAAAATATGCTTTATCTGAATCTCAAATTCAAATTAATATTGATGAGGGCAGATTTGGCCCTCCAGTGAAATTGCGACACGTGGCACCTCGTGACAATTAGGCAAATACCCAGGCAATAACTTATCAAGTTGGTGTTCCCCCGGGCACCGGTCTGACTGGCCTGGCGCGACCTGCACACGGCCTACGAGCGGCCTGCACGTGGCCTGGCACGGCCCGCGCGCGACCTGCGCGGCCTGGTCCACCTGCGTGCAACCTGGCGCGGCCTGTCCCAAACGGTTACATCAAATACTAATTCTAAAGAAGTTTAAATAAATTAAACGAGCCACCTTCGAGTTCAAATCAGATTAAACCCAACCCATTTGCAAATTGCAGCCCTAGAAAAATTATGAGTGGTAGTTAATCATGGGGCGGTTTTTATGTTGATGGAACATTTTTAATAAACTAATGCTTAGTTGATTTCTTAAATTGTAGAATTGCGGGCCAGTACTGAGCACACAGACAATATGTAATTGCTGAGGTTCTCCCTTCTCTTTGTCTCTATTCCCACTGCCATTCATTCACTGCTTCTCTGCTTATTTCCCGTGTCTGAAAGACTGAAACAGAGAACTCAAACCTCCATATCTTAGGGAAGAAGAAATAATAGAATCAAAGAAAAGAGAACAATACATACGATGATGCCCACGATGTCTATGGTCATGATGATGGGGTTGGGGGAGATATGGTCAAAAATAGCAAGTGGGCTAACGGGGCTCATGTAGATGTGGGCTATGTTTCGCCGGTACTGCCCGTATCCATATGAGCTCCAAAGCTACACCGAGAGAAGGATACCCACAGACAGATGGATGGGTTTCTGCCGTCCTTACCTCCATATCTCAATCCACGAGTTCACCAAAAATCGCCTTGAGCGTAGCCAAGTCTATGCTGCCGTCGAGGCCTACCTGAGTGCCAACGCGTCTAAGAGCGCAAAGCGGCTCAAGGCCGAGATGGGTAAGGACTAAAGACAGCACCAGCCTCGCGCTCAGCATGGACGACCTTGAGATGAGAGGGTGACGGATGAGTTCCATGGCGCCAATGTTAGATGGGTTTTGTTCACGATTGATTCGGCGCCGAGATGGTCCATGTCTTACGATCCGGCAGAGCCCGAGAGAAGATACTACAGGATGACATTCCACAAGCGTGATCGGGAACTCATCACCGGCTCTTACTTGGCGCATGTGGTGAAGGAGGGGAAGGCGATCAGGGTGAATAATCGGAAAAGGAAGCTCCACACCAATGTCTCTGGCTATGACCGGCCGAGCTACAGGGAGACGAAGTGGAGTCACGTGGATGACCTCCTCAGTTTCAGCAAGAGCAAGGACTACTACGTAAAGATTGTCGATGGCCAATCTCTTGAATTATGATATTTACGACTTCGAGCTCAAAACAGTTAAGGATAACAGGGAGTTGCGGAAGCTATTGATCGAGACGACTAGCACATCTATCATCGCGATGGAGGACATCGATTGCTCCCTCGATCTCACTGGCCAAAGAAAGGAGGCGAGGAAGTCAGCAGACAATGACGACAAAGAGGGAAAGAAGAATTGCTGTCCCATGCGCAAGGAAGAGAGTATCAATAGCAGCCATGTTACTCTTTTGGGACTCCTCAATTTTATCGATGGTCTCTGGTCTGCCTGCGGAGAGGAGCGACTAATCATCTTCACCACCAATCATGTGGAGAAACTGGACCCTGCTCTGATTCGGAGGGGTAGGATGAACATGCACATCGAGATGTCGTACTGCAGCTTTGAGGGATTCAAAGAGCTGGCCAAGAATTATTTGGATGTAGAGTCACATAATCCGTTCGAGAACATTCGGCAACTGATGAGCGAGACCAACATTATGTTGCGCACCCTTTGGAAACGGATATGCAACTCCCTCGAGCAATAACGCCGGAGCGCCGCTCAAAGAGGGCTCAGGATCACAAGATCACTGAAGAAGAAGAATTTGGTTAAAATGTCGAATACATTCCTTATTGGTTTACCTTACTTATATAGGCTCATGGCCGTTACAAGGAAATGATTTGCAATGATTACAATTAGTGATCATAACGGCAATGATTCTCCATTCTCTCATCAATTCTAACGGTCTCTAGTAGTGCCCGTGGCTTTTACGTAAATACCCATGCCAGACCCGTACACGTCAGCAGTAGTAAGGGTAGTAAGCTTTTCATCCCGCTGGATCATTAAGGCTCGTAACACATTACCCAGCTCAGAAAATGCAGAGGCATGCCTACTCAACCTGATTCGAGTTCTTGAGAAGCAAAAGGACCCGCCTATGCCGGAGAAAGGAGGTCAGCAACATAAAGCAAAAGAGAATAACAAATCAGAAAACGAGTTCCCCTTGAACAAAGAACACGGGGTGTAGAACAAAGAGCTATTACTATGTTCTATTAGAAAGCCAGACTCCTTGGCCCTTGGATTGTGTTATCTCCCAATGCTAATGAGTGATGCCTAATGGTGTCCTCCAAGGCCAAGAGTCGAAGGCCCTGTTTGAGAACACTTAAAAGAACTAAGACATGAGACCGCACATCAAGTGGTTCTTAAGTACTTATGGGTGTTTGGTAAAAGAGTGGAGTACTTCTTTGAAAAAGTGACTTTAAATTGGCTTTTTTTTTAAGTATTTCTTGAAAAAGTACTTCTCCAAAAAAATAGGACGAATCAGTCACTGATAAATTTCTATAATGCCTAAAATACCCCCATGCCCAAAAATCACTGTTCATTATCGTCTTCCCTGACTAGTCCCCACTCCCCAATCTGACGCTTCGCGGCTTCAACTTCGTCATCTTCCTTCTGCCCCTCTCTTCCTTGCTCTGTCCCTTCATCTACCTCACCTCCCTGTTGACCAACTCTGCCATTGGAAACCTTTCTTCTTTCTTTTCTTCTAGTCGTCAAATCTTGGCCCCTCATTGTAAGTTCCTCTCCCAATGAAGGCCAATCAATCTAGCTTTGGATTCATGTTTACCTGTTTACTTTGTATGAATTGTAAAGCCCCTTTTGGATTTGGGTCTCTGAGTTTCAACGGTTTAAATGATCTTGCAATCTGCTTCTGCTAGCTGGGTTGTCTCACGTCTTGTTTGGGTTTCGCCTTTTGTTTATCCTCGCAAGATTGATAGAATTGGGGTTAGGAGTGGAGGTGAAAATGTAAGGAATTCCCAGTTAATTGGGTGTTGTGGGAAAAAATTATTTCTTGGAATTGTCACCAGTAAGGTTTCTCGAAGAAGATGGATTTGTAGAGCATGTATGCTTCCTTCGACCGATGGGTGAAATCCGAATCTGAGCATTGAGTTTTGCAATTCAGCAAGGCAGGATGCAAAAGTCTTGGTTGCTAAGCGATTTGCAGATGAATTGGACCATGAAGAACTTGCTCCAGAGCATATTCAAATGGCGTCGAGTTTTACTAGCTTCCAGGAAGATCTTGTGGTTGATAAACTCAGGACTCAGCTAGGAGTAATCCACCCCATTCCCTCTCCTCCAATCAACAGGAATGTGGTGGGTCTTTTTGTCTTCTTTTTCTTTGTTGGGATTGCCTTTGATAAGCTACGGACATCAAGGAAGAGAAATAAACAGAACCTTGATGCTCGGACTGGTATTTGAACACAGGTGCCTAGCCTACAAGCTTTTCTTTGTTCCTCGAGAAGGATTTACAAAGAAAAGAGTATGTGGAATGGGTGAACATTGGGTTGCGTCAGCTTGGAGACTTGTTCTCTGTCGTCTTCCCCTATTATGATTAGTTATTTATTTATTTATTATTATTATTATTAGTGGTAGTAGTATTAGTATTATTATTATTATTATAATTGTTGTTGTATTATTATTATTTATAATTATTATTTTTATTATTATGGTTATGATTATTTTATTATTATTATTTGGATCCACATAGCAACCCGTGTGGACTGCAGTAGAAATGTATATTATAAGTTTACAACATGTAAAAACCATTGTATATATGTATAAATGAAATGAGAGTTAAAATTGTCATTTGAATCAATATAAGCATTTATGGGGAAAGTAGTTTACCAAACATTTCCACCCAATAAATGCTTAAAAGCATAATAAGTGAATTAAAAAAAATGGATCACCAAGACATACCAGGTAGACATTCTGCCAGGTAGACGCTGTTTTAAGTTTTAAGACTCCAACCAAGACATCATCAATCTTAAAATCTGGGAAGGAATGAAAGAAACATTTGTTACCTCGTGAAGAAAAGTTCCATTACAACAAGAGTCAGTTATCTAATACATCATTCTGCCAACAGACCAACCAGCCCCAGTGCTTTGAGGCACAACGTTGTTTTGATCCTGCAGAATGCAACCACGTGGCTTGAACATCTCAGCCAGTAAATTTCCGTTGGGTGGGGTTATAGTACATTGATTGGATAACAACACACCAATCAAGGACATCCTACAAATCCCATCATCCAGTGGCAGTACATTGCTTTTGATGCAAAATTTAAATTTCGCTGCCCTATCTACACAATACTCTCTCAACATCATATTGTCTGTGCTCCCCTGGATAAATTACATTGGAGTGGAGTGGCTGCTCGCATTATTCCATGGAAGGAGAGAACGCGATGGCCATAAACCCCTTCAAGGGGCTTTTAGCAAAATTTAGAAATATCTATTGTACACCCACCCTTCTTGATAAAGAGGACTCCTAACCCAGCTTTTCTTTCCAGCAACAGATAGTCCACATTCCACAAGCCTAGAAGAAGGCAAATCTTCAGAGAATACTTCAGAAGTTATCAGTATCATCATCCTTCATTAGCATACTAGGACTATCATCAAAACCAGTACCCGGAGCAACCTCATTTAAGTCCAGAAATCGCCTTTTCTTTACACCCTCGACTTCTTGGCCCGGGCTGCTGCTTGGTTTCTCAGGTGGCACAGCTTGCTCCTCTACTGTCTCATTGTAGTCTGGAATCGGCTCTTCAACTTTCATCTCCTCCTCATCTTCATTGACCTGGGAATCATCACTTTCCGTCGAGTATTCCATGTTATTGCTTGCATCTGAGTTGCCTTCTGATGCATCTGACTTCTCAGGTTTCGACTCAGCTTCAGAATCTGACAGCTCATATTGTCGATAGTTTATTCGGTTTCGGGTGGCCCTCTTGCTTCGTCTCAGACCTGACTCCAGCTCATCAACAGACTTTAATTTAGTTCCCCTCCTACTACTACGACTAGGAAAACTCTTAGATCTGCGTGGCTCATCAGTATCCTCACTGCTAAAAGAATCATCTTCCTCCTCATCGTCATCTTCAGCATTTTCTTCATCCCAACGGTATTCCTCATCTCCCTCAGAGCTGCTAGAGACCTTCTTCCGCTGTTTCCGGCTCCTCAGATACTCCTCATCATATACTGCTTCTCCAACTATATCATCATCACTGTCAAAGTCTGCCTCGTTATCTGAAACAGCTTCAACAAATTCTTTCTCTGAATACCTTTGTGGCCTCTGCCTTCTCCGGTTGCTACATGTCAAAAACACTTCTGTAATCAGATATATAATCACCAAGCCAAGACATTTCAAAGATCAAAAACAGAAGTCTTAACACACCTGCGGTCCAAATGTCCAAACTTGTGTTCCCCATCAGCCCCTTCATTATCATTTGATTTAGGAGATGCTGCATCGTAGGACATGTGATGAGGTGCTTGTGCGGGACCATTCCATCTACCATTTGTTGAGGCCTCGTGTTTCATAACAGCTTCTCTTCTAGAAACATGTTCTGGGGAGGGCTGTTTTCGCCTAAAATATAGCAATTGGGCAATAAAATAGATATACGTCATGGCAATATCAGAGTAGCAAAACTAAAATGTCTTTTCATCAGAAACAAAACATGAAGCACAAGGAAGGAACCATACTTGGTTATTTTAATAGCCTCATTGATTGACCGATCAAAATCATCTGCAAATTTGTTCAGATGCCAATCATTTATCTAAATAGATAACCTCATATAATAGACTATATAACACAGTAAACTAAGGCGTACTATGTTGAGGTCAATAAGTACTAAGAATATTAAATGTATCACGCCAATATGTCTGTCAAAAGGTGTACAGAATGATTGATGCCGACTTCTGTGTTTCTCCTCTTTAAGTAGGATACTGGAAAGGTGAAGCCCAATAATGTTTCCCTCTTTACTTATATAGTTCCTCTTACCAAAAGTATAGGTGACTGGTTTTCTGTCACGAAGGGAGCGTCCTGCAGCAAGCCCATCTGCATTCAAATAGCTATCAAGAAGTAGGGCCTGTCGATGCTGCTTTTTCAGAAGTCTCTCTTTCCTCTGTATAAACAGCAATTACAGAATGTAATTAGTTGTTATTGGTATGTGCTTCACAAATAGACAACTTCTGTTTCTGAATCCTTAAAACCCAGTTAAACTACGTGAGTACCTTGTGAACCTTCTCAATCTCCGGAAGCATATCGATCTTTAGCTTCTTCCCAACTGCAACTTCTGTTCTATTTTTACTTGAAAAAAGTTTCTCCTGAGAAGAAATGCACAATGTCAAATAAAGGAGGTAAAGATCATTAAAAAAAGAAAAAAGAGGTATAATTGCAGCAGAGAGAGAGAGAGAGAGCCTGCCTTCGTATGTTTGGCAGAAAAATTTAGGAGAATATGACAAAAATGACAAGCATGATAAGGTTGCCATAGAATCAGAAATAAAATAAAATAATATATAACAAGAAACAACATTCAGACAAAATTGCAAGTAAAAAATGAAATTGACAATTATGAACCAATAGGTTACCAAAAAGTGTTTTTTTGTCCACTAAATGGCAGATAAAATGATTGGTTACTAAAAGGCAATCATAACCATGGGATTTTTGACGTCTAATAAGAGAATCAATTTCTTCAGCTCTCAGAATTAACTACTCGTTCAGATGGATTAGAATATCAGTAAATCAACTAGTGGATTATATTGCAAGAAATTCCAAGGTAGTACAGCTAGCTGTGCTATGTGCCTCATGGTCATCAAAAATCAAATTCTAAGTAACCAATGGAACTGACAGTGATTAGACATCTCACAGTATCAATAAGCATCACTTCTGCTTAAAGGAATAGTTTGTTATATAGCTCAGACCTTTCAAAGGAATGCAAATGTGCAAACATGGTGAAATGCTACAACGTTCCACTAAAAATGATGGTTTAAACACAAATTGGTACATTATCTAGGAGGATCATTAGTTATCTGGCACCGAAGTCTGTCATCTAAGTCCTACCGCAAGTGCGACCGGGCATGTTGCCGAGGGCACCCAACACAACACACATCACTTGCGATCAAGGGGCACTCAACAGACGTTGCGCTGCAACGCGTGCATCGTCACACTCCCAGATCTCTTCTAGTGCACGTCATTGTGCAGCAGCATGCACTATCAAGTAAAACCTTGCACATTGTGATGCACGTCATTGCGCAACCTTCCTAATCAGATCAGATACAATGCAGGAGGTGTTATCAGGAAACCTCAAAGAGTCTAGTTGTGCAGGCAGGTGCTTGGACATCATGACATTCGCACAACGCACAATACTTGTAGCTTTTTGCTGATGCTCCAAGACAAAGAAAGAAAAATGCATTGAGAACCAAATATCAGATGAAAGGTACATTCAGTAAGGAGTTAAAGTTAAACACCAAACTTTTTATTTTATTTTATTAGGGTAACTGTAATATCTAGTTTCAAATTTAAAAGTACACAGCTGTAACAGAATGGTTAGCCTCAACCAACTATCCATGTGGGGTTGATTACATTTTCCCAGACCTCTACATTATTACAACAGATTACCTCAAAACATTTGTGCCCAGATTATCCCTTGCCTATCAATAGCATCAGCTGGCAACTTGTCGATTTGTATGTCCAGAGGAATCTTGCATTTACTTCAGCCACTAGCTTTCTAATCTCCTTCAACTGGTACCAATATTTCCAAGGGCCCTGCTTATTTTGGTTCAGCCAATGTGCAAGTAGGCCCAGTACAGTTGGATCCCCCCCACCACTGTGATATTTCTTAGATTTAGGGTCCTTGCCTACTTCAGATCATGCAATACTGCTAGCAGTTCTGCCCTTATTTTCCCAACCAGATAGGCCCTGAGAAGATTGCCATGATGCTCCCATTAGGATCTCTGATACCCCCTTTCCCTTTCCAGAATTCCCTGAATTGCCCAGGCTGCAACCATCAAAATTTAACTTAATTTGCCTACAGTAATGGGGACCACCCAAAAGAAAAATCACAACTCTTTGGATGGGTGTAGCAGCTAATATACCTCAGTTGTCAGTTCCTTAACAGATCATCACAAAAGAGAGGATAGCTATCTCTTTGGTCGGTTCCAGTTCCTTTTTTGGTCCCAACTATTATTGGGTTGGGACCGGTTCTCCCCTGTCCCGAACCGATGTATATATATTCAATGAATTTACATATAATATTTATAATTTCTAAATGTCCAAAAGGATCATTTCACCAAGGTTTTGAAGAAATGAAACCCTAAGACAAAACAAGCAAAACGCCAAAACTTTTCATTTCCCTTACCCCTCTCTTTCTCAGTTCTCTTGTATCGACCGACGACTCCAACCTCCAAGTCTTCAAGTGTCATGCTTCAGGTATGCTCTCTCCTCCTCTCTTTCCCCCTTTTCCTCCATTATTCCTTTAATCTCTTCACTTTTTCACTCAATCACTCTCACTCTCCCTTTCACAATTTCACTCAATCTCAATACTCGCTCGACCTCAAATCTATTGAACTCCAAGAAACCAAACTCTAATTTGTACCAGACTATTGAGTGTACCTAAGAACGTGAGGCCACAAGTAGCAGTAACATCTGCTGGTGGAGGCAGCAGCAACAATGATGACTGGTGGAGTCCGATCAGTGGAATCTTAGGCAAAATAACGATGACAAAGCATTGCAACAGTGAGTCTGTGTGGCAATCGACAGGTATGTCTCATGCCTGAAATTAGTGTCTTTTTTTGTCTTGTTCAACATTACAACAGAAAAATCTATAGTTTGGTTGTGATTCATCTCCATTACTTGATAGAGATTGGAAGTTTGCCAGCCCTAGTTTTTTTTAGTTCTTCTCGCAGGGAACCATCAGGTCAGACCCGATTAATGTTTTAAAACGCGGAGGCGTGACGCAAAGCATTCCACTACCTAGAGGCGTGAGGTGTAATTCAGAATGCAAGAGGCATAAGCCTCCCGAACACAAGGAGGCGTAAGCCTTCTTAAGAGGAGGGGGGTTAGGAGGATGAAGAGGAAGGGGGGATCTCATTTTTTTCTTTATTTTTAATTAAAATCTTTTATATTAAGAAGAATAAAGATGCATAACAGTAGTTCAAAGGGGGGGTCTTGTCGAAGCGAAGGGGCAGGGGGCAAACCATTTTCTTTCCCCTTATCTTTTCTTCCCTTCCCTTTCCTTTTCTTTTCTTTCCTTTTCTCTTTTTTTCTTCTCTTTCTTTTTCTTTCCCTTCCCTTTCCTTTTCTTTTCTTTCCTTTTCTCTTTTTTTCTTCTCTTTCCTTTCCTCTTCTTTCCCTTTCTTTTCCTTTCCTTTACTTTTTTTCTTTTTTCTTTTTTTTTCCTATATTTTCATATCAAGTGTGCATGAGGCGCAAGAGGCGTACGCCTCTAGCACGCCTCATGAAAGCACCTGAGGCGTACGCCTCAGAGGTATCAGCGTCTCTGGCATATGCCTCAGAGCGTTTTGGGAGCGCCTCTGGCGTACGCCTCAGGGCGTTTTGGGAGCGCCTCTAGGCATACGCCTCAAGGCGTTAAAGACCCTAAGGGTCTGGTTCAGTTCTGGGACCTTGATATTTCTTATCGGTTCAGGACCGGTTCTACCCTATCCCAGCCCAGACCCAACCCATTGACAACCCTACAAGAAGATGATGGTTCTTTTGATGAAGTTGAGAGTTTAAGTGAGGCATCTGAATAAGTTCTTATTGATGAAACACACTATATCGTCAAGGCATTTGACTTGAACAAAGTGGTTGATGCGGCAGCTGAGGTAAGTAAAATGCTGGGTCTAATTGTGTTGGGAGGTGAACCCTTACGAGAAAAATGTTTCAAGAACTAGAGGATCGCTACAAGATGCCCAAGGAAGAATGGTGGAGATTTTCAGGTGGAAAGGATTAATGAGAACCCTAAAAGTTCATTGGAATCCAGGAAGTTTGGTGTAGCAAATAGAAGACTTAATCAAAGAAAACATAGGGATGTCTTGGTTTCAAAGGCTTTAGACTAAAAGGGAGTCGCTTTGGAATTGGACCAAACAGGAAGGTGTCAAAGTTCAAGAAAGCTTCAAGAAGATTTTAGTGGTTTAGTGGATCAAAGGTCGTAGTTTCTGTGGATTTTTTTGGCTTTGGTCTTGTCGAGTAAGGATGTTTGCTAGTGGGGTTTGTTGTGGTTTTGTACTTCGTCTTTGATGGCTTTATTTATTGAGTTTTGTTTGTTTGAGCTGTCTTTTGGGGTTTTGTTGCCAAGGGGCTTGTGTTGTGGTGTTTTGTAGTTTCTGGTTTTATTGGTTTCATTGAGGCTAGATCGGCTTAGAGTGTTTGTGTGGGTTTTGAAGTTTTGTTTTTTTATTACCCCCAAAAAATCGTTTTGATCCAATGCACTGCCTTGCTCTGTACATTTTCCTTCACCATAGTAGAAATCACTGATTGTAGATTTAGTCCAGTTTCTTGTGAAAGGAAAGAGGGGGAAGATGAAGATTTCAGHAGTAGAGAAGAAAGGAGAAGAAGAAAAGAGTAGGAAGTCAACCAGGATTATAAAATTAACCCTAGCCGCCTACCTCTCATTATATTTATACTTAACTTAAAGGATGAGATATTACAAGGATGCCCTTAGTAGGGCGACTACTAATATAGCTGAACAGTCACAACTTAAAAAAAAAAAAAACATAAATTAATGGGCCTAAAGCCCAACAACTTCCTAACTAAATAAAAAACAAACCGGACCAACTCAACACTCCCCCTCATGTTGGGAGTAAATGTTACACATTCCCAAATTGCGTAGATCATGCTCCAGCTTGTTCTTTGCAACACCTTTTGTGAGACCATCAGCGAGCTGCAGATCAGAAGCAATGTATGGAAAACAAACTTCTCCAGAWGTTACCCTTTCTCTGATAAAATGTCTATCCACTTCAATGTGCTTAGTTCAGTCATGTTGGACTAGGTTATGGGCAATGTTAATTGCTGCCTGGTTATCACAGTATAGCATCATAGGTTCTTCTGCCTGTACACCAATTTCTTCTAACAGGGAACGGATCCAGAGAAGTTCTGAAACTCCATGTGCCATCGCCCTGTATTCGGCTTCAACAATTGATCTTGCCACCACTGTTAGTTTCTTACTCTTCCATGAGACAAGGTTACCCCCAACAAGGGTGCACACTCCTGCAGTTGATCTCCTGTCATCAAGGCATCCTACCCAATCCGCATTTGTATAAGCCTCTAGTTTCAACTATCCATGATCAGTAAACAATATGCCTCTGCCCGGGTGTCCCTTCAAATA